TGTCACCAAACTTGGAGGGAAAGCTTTCATCTTTAATTATTAAATGTGATATTAACTGTAGAAATATTGCAGATGCTTTTTGTCAAGTTGAGGAAGTTCCTCTCTAGTCCTGGTTTTCTGAGAGTTTTCATCATGGATGGTTGTTGTATTTCGTGATGTGCTTCTTCTTCATCAAATAATATGATCATATGACTGTAACTGAATTTGTGGTTTTGAGACAATTGTAGATTTACATGCAGGTGTAAGAAATAATGCAAAGAGACCCCTTGTGCCCTTTTAACTAGCTTTGCCTAATGATAGCATCTTGCAAAGCTATATTACAACTGGGATGCCAACATGGGTATAGTCAAGGTACAGAACATGGCCATCTCCACATGAATCCCTCATTTCACCCGTTGATGGACACATCCACTTCCCTTCCACACCAACCCCTTTCTTACTCCTTGGCAACATCTAATTAGCCTGTTTCTATAGTTTTTTATAGTCATTTTAAGAATGTTATATAAATGGAATCACACAGTGGCTAAGTTTGGGGGATTGCCTTCTTTTCATTCAGCATAATTCTCTACAGACTCATCCAGGTCATTATCAACAGTCATGTCTTTTTATTGCTGAGTGGTATACCATGGTATGTAGGTACCAGTTTGTTTAATCATTCATCCATTGAAAGATTTCTGGGTTGTTTCTGGTTTGAGGCTATCTTGAATAAAGCTACTATAAATGCTTGTTTGCCAAGTTTTGTATGAATACAAGTCTTCATTCCCCTGGGATAAATACCTCGGAGTGCAATTGCTGGGCCGTGTAAAAATTACATGTTCAGTTTTTAAGAAACTGCCAAAACAGTTTTCCAGAGTAGCTTTGCCATTTTTTCATTCTCTCCAACAATGCATGACTAATCCAGTTTCTCTCATTTTTGCCAGCATTTGGTGGGTTTTCCAAACAAATAAAGGTGAAATTCAAACGACAATTAGTGGAATTCGTCCATTCACAATGTACTATACCATCTCCTCTATCTAGATCCTGAACATTTACATCACCCAAAGTAAAGCCTCATCTCTAGTAAGCAGTTAGTCCCCCCTTCTCCCCTGCCCTCAGTCCCTGTCAACCACCAATCTGCTTTCTGTCTCCATGAATTCAGCTATTCTGGATATTTTGTATAAATGGCATCATATAATATGTGACCTTTGGTGACTTGACTTGTTTCACTTAGCAGGTTTTATCTATATACCAATAATTCATTCCTTTGTATGGCTGAATAGGTCAGTGGTAAGGACAAGGCAAATTTTGTTTATCTGTTTACACATTGATGGCCATTTGGGTTGTTTCCACCTTTTGATTATCATGAATAATGCTACTGTGAACATTTGTGTAGAAATATTTGAATACCGATCTTCATTTCCTTTGGGTATATATGTAGGAATGGAATTGCAGGGTCTGATGGCAATTCCATGTTGTTAGTTTTTGTGGAAGAACTGCCAAACTGCTTTCCCCAGCAGCTGTAATGTTTCAGTTCCCACCAGCAATGTATGAGTGCTCCAATTTCTCCACATTCTTGTCAACACTTGTTATTTCCCCTTTTTTATTATGCCATACTACTGTGTAGGAAGTGGTATGTCATAGTTTCGATTTGCATTTCTCTTAACATCTCTTCATACTGAGCATCTTTACATGTGCTTGTTGGCTGTTTTTAATATCATTTCAATATTAATTTTAATATCTATTTTTTATATTCCCTTCTTTGTTTGCTTTGTTTTGTTTGTCTCCTTTTTCTTGGTTCCTTGGGTGGAAACGTATAGATCTTAGACTTTCCCTCATTTCTGTTATAACTGTAAATATCTCTCTCAGCACAGCTTTACTTGTGTCCCACAAATTTTGATGTAATATATTTTCATTTTCATTTAGTTCAGTTTATTTTAAAAATTTCTCTTGAGACCTCCTCTTTGACTCCTGAGTTTTTTTTTTTAAAGTTTGTTGCTTAGTTTCCAAGTGTTTGGAGATTTTTCCTGTTGTCATTTCTGTTTTTATTTCCTAATTTGATTCCACTGTAGCCAGAGAAAATACCATATATTACTTCAACTCTTTAAAATTTTTGTGGATTGTTTTATAGTCTGTATTGGTATATATTTGGTATATATTGATATATATTTTGGTATATATATTGGTATACATATTTGGTATGGTATACATATTTGGTATATATATTGGTATATATTTCTTGGATGCTTGAAAAGAATGTAAATTTTACCGTTTTCTTGATGGGGTGTTCTATAAATACCAATTAGATCTTATTAGATGGCTGTGGTATTGAGCTCTTTTATATCTTGCTGATTTTCTAATTGTTCTATCAGTTATTGAGAGAGGACATTGAAATCTCCATTATGAATGTCAAGTTTTCTATTTCTTCTTTCTGTTAATGTTATTTTTGGCCCATATATCATGTAGCTGTCTTGTTTGGTGCATACACATTTAGAATTACTTCGTCTTCTTGGTAGACTGATCCTTTGCCCGTCTCTGTGCCTGGTCATTTTCTTTGTCCTGAAGTTATTTGATGTTACTAGAGCCACCCCTGCTCGTTTTTAAAAGTTTTTTCATCCTTTTACTTTCTACATGCCCATATCATTATATTTGAGGTGAGCATCTTGCAGACAGCATATAGTTGTTATGTTTGTTTGTTTGTTTGTTTTTGATTGACTCTGTCAACGTCTCTTCTTAATTGCTGTATTTAGATCATTTTCACTTAATGTACTTATTGATTTTAGTGCTTAATTCTTCCAGTTTATTTTTAATTTCTGTTTGCTCTCTGTTTTTGTCCCTACTTTCTTTTTCCTGTATTCCTGCGGGTGACTTGAAAATTTTTTAGAATTTCATTTGCTGATTCGTGTATGGTGTTTCTGCATGAATCTTTCTGTATGCCATTTTTTGGTGTTTCTTGGCACTGCATCATATATACATAACTTGTCAGGGTCTACTGATGTCAACATTTTACCAGTTTGAGTGAAACTCTTTCCACCCCTTTACCACTCTCCTCTGTTTATAATGTAATTGTGTTAAATATTTCTTCCACATACATTTAGAACCACAGCATGCAATGTTATGTTTCTTCAGCTGCCAAATATAATTTAGAAAACTTTAAGGAAAAGGAAAGTCTATTCTATTTACCCATATTTTGTCTCTTTCCATGATTCCTTTTTCCTCAGTGATGTCCAAAATGTCTTCTTTTATCATTTCCTTTCTGTTTAGAGAGCTCCCTTTAGCCATTCTCTCAGAAATCTGTTGTTAATGAATTCTTTCAGTTTTCATTCATCTGAGAATGTTTGGATTCCCCTTCCATACCTGAAGTGTGATTCTCAGCACTCATTTAGATCTTCTGTTTAGCTGGCTTTCTCTGACAATGCTCTGGCAGGGAAAGGGGTGCACTGTCTCATTTCTGCCAGGTAGCTGTGAAAATCCAGATTCTCCACTTAGCCTTCATTGACACCAAGGAGGTTGGAGCTTCTCGTTACTGCTGGGCAGTGATGATTGTTCCAGCTCCCCACTGGGCTTCTGCTAATACCACCCTGGGTGGGGTGGGTAAGAGTGCTTCATTACTGTTCCCCATGTGACCTCCACTGACATTGAAAGGAATGGGTTGTGGACTCATGACCCTGTGGAGGGGCAAAGGTCCTGACTCTGTACGGCCTCCTCTGACACCACCCTGGCAGGAGTAGGGGAGATGACTCATTTCTGTTCGGGGCGGGGTGGAGTCTAGGCCCCCAACTGGCCTTTGCTGATGGGACTGGGTGGGACCACCCTTTTGTCTGTGGTGTTTAGCTGAAGAAAAGTTTTCAGTCTTGGGAGACTGCCCCTTTTCTGGCCCTCTGAGTAAAGAGAGGAGACTTTTGCAGGAGCTATTTTCGCTGTGTTCATTGGTACTTCGGGTTGTCTGCTTCTTCAGTCCCAGTCTGGGATCTATGAGGCAAAAAGAAAACCCAGGGAGCTTGCCACTGCATCGTTCCCTGTGTCCCAAGGTCTTTATCCGGTTTGCTTTCTTCTCCCCACCTTTCAGGGTCTTCTGGTGCTTGTTTTATATGTAAGGCCCAGACGTTTCAGTTGTCCGCAGTGGGGGAATGGGGAAAGTACTTCTCCACTTTTCCAGAGCCAGATATGTGGACACGGAAATTTTAGACCTGTGTTTGTCCTGCCAAGGAGATCTAGGGAAGGAGAGCTTCCCTCATACATGAATCTCTTGGCAGAGCTCTAATTCCATGTCTACATCCTGAGAAACAAAAAGAAATAAAACACATCTGCTATCCCTGGGTTTGCACGTCTGCTAGTCTGTCATAGAGGGCATCAGCTGGGACAGCCGTGATCGTAATCGCAGCTGGTTCGGTTACCTTTTTGTAAACCAGTGCACCAGAGTTTCGTGAGCCCTTTCCAACAGCCATTGCTTCTTTCCAGTGATTGTCGGGTCATGACCTATTAGTCCGCTCACTTGGTTGGGTGCTCACAGGGGCACAGTTGGCAGGTGCCCCTTCTGTGGACCGAAGGCTTCGATAGAGCTGAAAGGGCACTTAAGCCATCACCTGATCCAACCACCTTGGTTTTCATATTAAAAAAAAAAATTCTGTGTTAGAGAACGGAAGATCTCATGGTGTCCCACCGAAAAGCCTTCCCTGCCTTGAAGCCCGATGTCGTTTAGTCACATCAGGCTGTTCCTCCACCCATCCCTCAGCTCTCCAGAGACTGCCATCTCATCCCAGCCAACTGCCTACCAGAAGTGCCCCTCATCCCTGGAGGTTGGAAGGGTTCAATGAGGGTGGTGGGATGGAAAGAGAGATAAGAAAAATGCACGTAGCCAGCTCCACCCAAACCTGTCCTCGGAATGCAAGTCTGTGATTCACGGGGTCAATGGTCTCATCTTTGTGTCTGAAAGACAGTGTACTTTTTGTCTCCCTAAGCCCTGTGTCTAGGTCGTTTGGGAAGCGCCTGGGAGAGTCAAGAATAAAATTGCAGGTCAAACAATGGATGACTGGAAAAGTCGACTTGTAGTCAAGAGCATGCTTCCCCATTTCGCCGTGGTGGGAAATCGTCAGGAGCCCAGAAAGCTCCAGGAATCGGTCAGATAATGGGCTATGGGGGGAGGGGGGCTTTGAATGTTTATAACCGTAAACTTGAACGTAAGATGTGTTGTTGAAATTCTCTGTGCAAACTTCGTGGCGAGGTACCAACCCCAAATGTAAAGAAACTGAAATGTGACTTAGAAAAGATCCAGGAGATGTGCTGACCCTGCCCCTTGTGAGTTTCAGGAAGAGCAGGAGAGTCCAAGGCTCCGTCTAGATTCCCAGTCCAGCTCTCTCTGCGTACACCCCTTCAACTAAGAAGAGATGAAGGGTAAAAAGGGAAAAGAGTGTACTCTTTCTCTTAATGGAAGCCAGGAATTTGGGGATGACAGGCACTGGATGTATTATATTAGCTTCCTAGTACCACTGAGAACAGGAAGCCAGTGAGTAGGGCGCTGAAAGATACTCCCATTTGACTCTCTGGCCCTGATGTCCTTTTAAAAACTCACCTGACAAATTTCTGCTTGCCTCCCTCGGAACTTAGACATCATCCATGAGTGTGAAACTCAAGAGTTAGGGATTCCAGAAGTAGTCTGGGGAGCCAGGATTCTAGAAAGGGACATGGGAGCCATTGGTTGGTTGACTGACAATAAAAGTCTGCAACCTCACTAGTCTACCAAGTTAGCTTAGTTACTAGGAGGTGCTGCAAGCACAGTGACTGTTATCTCAGTGCATTAGGTCCACAAAGGAGTGGCTTGCTTAATCTTGGCAATTAATAGAGCAGAGAGGAAATGGCTCTTCTAGACCCCTGGGTCTGCTTCCTTCCTGTTCAGAGAAATGGGAGCTGGGGGCTTTGGGGTAATGTCATTTCACATAACTAGAGGGCCCAGCTTCTCCAATTCCAAGGGCAGTCTACTTTGAATAAGTCAGTTTTCTATTTAGGTGGGAATTCTGATCTTTGCACAGCTGTCAGGGAGTGAGGACATGGTTGAAATCTTTTTTCTCTTTTTTGACCTCATTGTCCACCACTATCAATATACTGAGAAGGCGGTATCTAGTTGAGACATTTACAAAACTTTGTTTACTGGAGTTTCAGCTCAAAAAGGATACCAATCAGATGGGATGGCAGAGAGGGAGCAGTTACTTACCTATATCCTGTCCTCCAAATTGCCAGCCCTCCCATCAGGCATCTTTCCAAGTCAGTCTCCACCCTCCATCCCCATTACCCTTTCTAGCTCTTGCTTCTCTTTTATGGTCAAGAGTTAAGTCTGTGAAGGAAAACCTCTTGGTGATACATCCAGAGACCATGCTCAGTTTCGGTGGGTCTTGCAATTTCTCCTTTGTTCCATACTTGTTTCCATCCCAAGGAGAAGTTTGTGGTGGGGGTTGAAGGTGCAGGATCCTCTTCCTCTTACCCCATGAGCCCCACCACCCCTGTGTAAAGTGTGACTAGTTAAGTAACCTGTTTGCTTTTGACTGGTATAGATCTGGATGTGGGATGGGTTCCTCCTAGAACATGTCCTCTGAGCGGCCACCCGCGCCCTCACTCTGAAGAAGCAGCCCTGGCTCACACCATTTCTGGGCTTGGCTTCTCTTTGCAGGTGGCCTTTAGAGTCCTTTGTAAGCATGGCCAAAAATGCACATGCATTGCTTTAGCATCACACCTTGGACCTGATCAAAATCAGCCCTTCTCCCTCCTCCGCAACACCTCTTGTTCTGTGGCTCTGAGTGAGCTGGTTCCAAAAGTCCAAGCCGTCCTGGAAGACCAAGGACCTGCCTCAGTTGAGCATATCCAAAAAAAGAAGCCTCAGGCTCCAAAAGCAAGTCTCTCGGATAAGTCCTCTTGGCAATAAAAGCCACGTTCATCTTCCTAGAAGATGCCTGTGGCCTCTGAAGGGTCTGACACTCAGGGAACCCACTCTCTTGGCTGTGCCTGATGGGTAAATGTGGAGCCTGGCTGAGCCAGGCACTGCTGATATGGCCACCAGTAGCCGGGGCAGCTCTTGGTTTGAGCCCAACTGACTTCTCTTGGCTGGTCAACCCCGGCAGCTTCAGTAAGGTAACTGGTACCCACATGGAGCTCTGCCCTACACGCCCCACATGCTGAGTAGCTCAGCAACCCCTTGATTATGGACAGAGACAGACAGATTCAAAGCATAATGGCCAGTCAGTTCACCATGAAACCTTCTGTCCAGACGAGTACAGGACCCAGACTGGTAGCAGCAAGAGGCTGTCCTTGGCGGGAGCAGGGCTGGTGCTTCTCAGGTGTGGCCTGGACTGGGGTCTCGGCTGTTCCCTGTGCTTGCTTTCCCTCGGATGCTTTCTAGTGTCAGCCCCATCCTGAGAAACTCTGTGCTTCTGGAAGCACGTCCCTAACACCACCCTGTCCCTTCCTGCCAGCATCCTCAGTGGAGAAGGTCTGATGCAGACATCAGCTTACCTGGTTTTCTTGTCCTTTTCCAAGAAACGGACTGACAAAAAAACTACTTTCAAGTCAAGATCTGTTCATAAAATTATATCAGTCCCAAAGGAGAGTTCTTTTAAACAGCCTGGGATCGCCATGTGAATCACTGTGAGTTCCCATGCAGGAAAACATGCATCCGATGTGATGATTGCTCTTGGCTTAAGACCAGGGCTCTGGACACCTGATTCCAGTCTTGCTTCTGCTCCTAACTAGCTATGGGGCTTTGGCCATCCTTTGCCCACCCTGAGGACAAAGATCAAATTAATCAGGAGTAAGAATAGCCACTTTTATTTCAGAATTGACTAGGTACCAGGCACTTGCTAAGCATTCAGGGTGCCTTATCTCCTGTAATCCTGAGAATAACCCTGAGATAAAGAGGCTATCTCCAGGAAACTGAGACTCAGTTTAAGAAACTTGACAAAGTCACAGAACCAAGACACAGCAGAGCTCAGAGCCTGCTTTCTTTGCTGATGGCTTCTGCTGCCTCTTGGCTCTGAATCATGTTGAAAACCACAAAACCCTGAGTACATGTCAGGTGGGAGTAGTTATCATAAGAAAGCACAGCACCCTCTCAGCATTTGTTCATTCATTCAGCTGCCTGATTGCTTAATGACTTGTGTGATCTGGAGCTTTACCTTTTGAACATTTGGGCATCCACTCCAGCTTAATAAGGCATCCAGTCCCGGCAGTGAGTGTATGGAGTTTTAACAGAAGGCAAAACATTTGGCCCCTCTTTTTGAAGTTAAGATCTCCATCCATTCCTCCCCCAGCATGGTGACTGGATTGATGATAGCACACGAATCTCTCAAATAGGAGCATGCCAGGTGGGTGTGCTTTGGAGCTCCGGTGGAATTGGAACTCAGTTGTCTCTGTCTCAGTCTACACCCCACCCAAAGTTGTAAAGATTCCCCAGCTCTGAACAGCCATCTATTCCGTTCATAAGGCAGCTCCAGATGAAATGGAAGCTTTAAGGTATTAGACATACAGTCAGAAAAGGTAAGGCATGCCATGCTCCTGGTGTGTCCTCTGTCCTCTGCATGTCCTCTTTCACCATCCCCCAGAGTTTGCGCAAGCTCATGTCCATTGAGTTGGTGATGCCATCCAACCATCTCATCCTCTGTCATCCCCTTCTCCATTTGCTTTCAATCTTTTCCAACATCAGGATCTTTTCCAGTGAGTCAGTTCTTCGCATCAGGTGGCCAAAGTATTGGAGCTTCAGCTTCAGCATCAGTCCTTCCAATGAACATTCGAAGTGGATTTCCTTTAGGATTGACTCATTTGGTCTCCTTGCTGTCCAAGTGACTCTCAAGAGTCTTCTCCAGCACCACAGTTTGAAGCCATCAATTCTTCGCTGCTCAGCCTTTTTTATTGTCCAGCTCTTACATCTGTACATGACTACTGGAAAAACCATAGCTTCTTTCCCCCACAGCCAGTCCCTCTCATCAGGAAGCTTGCACAAGCCTCTTGTCCTCATCCATCAGAGGGCAGACAGAATGAAAACCACAATCACAGAAAACTAACCAAACTGATCACATGAACCACAGCCTTGCCTCACTCAATGAAACTATGAGCCATGCCGTGTAGAGCCACCCAAGATGGATGGGTCATGGTGGAGAGTTCTGACAAAATGTGGTTCACTAGAGAAGGGAATGGCAAACCACTTCAGTATTCTTGCCTTGAGAATCCCATGAACAATATGAAAAGGGGAGCTATATCAGGGGTCCCCATTTGGGTGGTCCCAAGTGCAGCCTGCTTTGGACCCGTGGTATGACCTAAACCAACTGCTCACCCCTTCTTCTTTTTGTCACCTTGAAATGCAAATGGAGCTGAGGAAAGGGGAGAAAGGAGCCTTGTCTGTCTGTCTGCTTCAGATAAAGGAGGAGGGCTGTTCACTTGCTGCCATGCTAAGTTTGGGACTTTGTGCCCATCAGCCCCAGAAGCACACCCTTTTGTTTGCAAAAAGAGTAGAGGGGACTCAGTGAGGAGACCTCGCATTTCATCCCCAGGCTCTGCCTGGCACTTTGTGTGAGTAAGTCCTTTTCCTCCCGAGGTCAGAGGGCCCATGCTGCCAATTATCTGGGGTCCTTCCTGTGCACCCAGCCCTGTGCTAGACACTGGGCTACAACAGCTCCCAGTCAAGGGCAGATTTCTCAGACTTCCTCCACTGGGAACAGATCTGTCCTCAGAAGCTCGGAGGAGAAGGGAAGGATCCTTCATAGACAGTAATTTGTCTACTCCTGTGACACACGGACCAAGATCTCCATTTCACCAGGGAGGGGACTGAGGGGCTTTCCCAGTATTACATGGGCAGTAGGTTGGAAACTCAGATCGCAAACCCAGGTGCCCTGACTCCAAAGCTCCTCTTCCTTGCCTGCTTCCTATTTCCCAGTTGTGAGTTCAGACAGACAGTCTTCCCCAGTCAGGCACAACTTGGGGTTCAGGCTATAGCAGTGAACAGAACAGAGCCCTAGATTGCCTGGACAGTCCACTCCAGCGGCAGACGGCTCATAAACAGAGATAGAGTGGAGAGGCATCTTGACTTCATACTCGTGGCTCCCTGGAACCTTCTGACTGGCATCACCAGCTGCCCAGC